CGTCTTAGTTACCAAATCAGAGTTCTTAGTTATCAAATCACATGGTTACAAAATAATACCTTTTAGTTACCGAACCTACGTTTGATTGTTTCCAAATAACACGTTTTAGTTACCCAATAACATGGTTACCCAATAACACGTCTTGGTTACCGAATAACACGTTTTAGTTACTCAATAAAACGTTTTAGTTACCCAATAAAACGTTTTAGTTACCCAATAAACCCGTGACCATATAGATATATAGATGTAGATACATGTAGGTAGTGATAGATAGATGTCGTTTCATAGATGTAGTAGAGTTGCATATATGGATATCAATAAGATGTTTAGATAACATATATATATACATATATTTATAGGTGTATCGAGATAATTAGATATAGAGTAGTATACAGAATACATTCTATATATCACATACACATTCTACCTACATCATACATGGTATAAGGATGAAGCCCCCAGGAAAAACTTGCACCACAGGAGAGGATATGAGAGGTACTTGAATGGCCGCTCATGTCCCTGGCCATAGTGCTGATTGCCGTGCACCGTTCCGGCACGCTTTGCCTCCTTGGAACCAAGGGGGCCCACTGTAGCCGTGGTGTGTTGCGGGCGGCGGCAGGCGGCGTGAAACGCCACCGGCTGGGCGGTCGCTGGTTGGTCACTGGTCAAAAGGAGTGCAGACTTCGGGAGAGGCTAATTGGATCTAATTGGTGCCATGAATGTGTAGATGTTGGAGAAGCGCTTCAAAAATGTAAATCCGTCTTTGTGGTTAGTATCTCAGACTAGGGGCGTCGAGAGAGGATTGAAGAGAGGTTGCTATGCTCTCCCCTCCAGCTTTGGCGTTTGAGACACCACCAACAGGATCCAAAAGGTTGCTTGACGCCCAAAGATCAAAAGATACGATTTCAATTGATTTCAGGTCTTGGCAGGCCGCCAATATTATATACGTATATATAATTACGTATACAGTAACAGTGTTGAACAGTATACATATCTACAGTACATATATAATCATATATATATAGATGTGTGTGTGTGTCTCTGTCTGGTATGTCTAGCAGGTCGATGATTTCTCTACTGACGTTTGTGGCAGTACTGAGGTGCCTCCTGAGATCCCGGATGAGGCGATGAATTTCATGCAGCAGTGTTTGATCAAGGACTGGAAACTGTTTTCGCCTGGCTGGATGCCTGGCTATTCGTCATATTCCCCCTGTTTGCTGGTTTCTTGTACATTGTGTGACCACTGAGAAAATTGATGTTCCTCAAGCCCTGGGGGACAAACAAAGCCATTTTGGATGGCCTGGTGGTGTCAATTGGTTGATTGAAATTGAGGGGGTTCATCGACGCATATTTGACAAATGAACGTCAGGATTTGACCTGTAATTTGTTTTCGATTTGGGTATGGATACAGGATGGGTATCTGAAAAAGGGATAGCTTACCATTCCAAATGAAGATGCGTTGGGGGTGAACTTTTGAGACATACCCGGCAACAAATTTGGAATTAATTTGAGCGCATGCGAGTGCTTGGCTTGGCTAGTTGGTGGACTGTATAAGTATATGAGCCACGGTGAGCTTTAAGCTAATGAGGAATCTCAATACAAGCTCACATGATGGTTGTTCATTTGATTTAAACATGATATGGGCTTGTGAAATCAACAAATGATGGTTTGCATATGGAAGCATCCAAATTTCATGCACATATATGTTACATTAGACAAGACATGAGTTTTTTTTGCGTTTCTTCCACAAGTTGGCGGCCGTTTCACCTCAGCCACAACTTACCTTGATGCAGGACCCAAACCTGCGGCCCTCTGCTGCGGAGGTGGGCAAAACTTTTGTTGGTAAGTCTTTGGCCCATGTTTTTGGTAGTTCCGCTTTACTTTGGGATGTTTCTGGAATGATTTGCAATGAAGATCCATGAAGTTCTTGAGATGAATAAGTCAACCAGTCCCGAAAGTTTCCTGTCCTCATCAAGATAGAACCTTATGATACCAGTAGCTGTGTGAAAGTTTTGGATATTTTCATGTTTGGGCGCCACGAGAAAGTTTGACTAGCGTCAGCGTATGGCGAGTTCAGCTTCTACTCGGATACCTTAATCATCCTTAAGCAAATTTCTCAAACAGACTGGCTGTGGTTCTACAGGTCTAATTATAGGCTAAAATGGGTTCTCCGGTGTTACCGACCCGAGCACCCGTGACTGCGCAGCTGGGGCAGCATCATTGGCTGCAGAGCAATGGTGGCATCATTGCGCAGGCCTTTTTTCGGCGAAAGGATTGGCTAAACCTTGGGTGAATGGTGGGCAAATGGGCAAATGGGCAAAGCTTTTGCCATGAATGGACAAATAGGGCGACAAATACCTCGCCGTATATCCCACTGAAAGATTGTTTTGTTCCAGGGTAGCTAATTGCGAGGCATTCATAGTGACTGTCCCAGGAGAACATCTGATGGAACACCGCATGTGCCAAGACACTGAACCTGGGAACCCAAAATGATAGCTTCCAAACATTCACTTCTTTTTCTGCGGGCAGTACGTGGTTATTATTTGTTGCTGGCGTAGACAGTACATGGTCCATTCTTTTCATCGATGGTGCATTGCAGGAAAAGCGACTGTTGTCTCACTATATGTTCCATCATTTGACATCTCTTCAGATATCATTCCAGTAGCTCAGTAATCCAAGCATGGACAGCTCTTCTATGTTGTTCTGCAATCTTCGGTATTTGTATTGTTTGCTTGTATCCGGGGAAATTGTCGCGACGGACCGATTGCACTTTCCATCCCTGCTCGGAACGGTTTCAACCTGCCTTCATGTGATTCAAATGGGTTTAATTATGTTTAATTATGAGCGTGAAATATGAATCCAGGTGGATGGCGAGTCGATGAAGTCCCTCATTGGCCGAGGTGCGGGTGGTAAGGCTGGATGGATATACCGCTGAAACGTAGACTTCCAGCACAGGGCACTAAACCACAAGCCAGAGCTGACGGTATCAGTTGCGAGCATGACCAGCAAATATAATAAGAAACGACAGTAAGAAGTAATTAGTAATAGGTTTAACATGGTTTAACCCATCATAAGATGATTTATTGATTTGATTGGTTAAAGTTACCGATATTGTCTTGTTCATTAAGACACCAAGAGGGGATGGACATTCAAACCACAAGAACCATCGTGAGGGGTCCAATCGTAGGCCCATATTTACCAGTCAATAAATTATCAGTAAGTTGTCAGCGGCTCATATCAGCAAGCACGGATAGAAAATGTTGGCTGAAGGAACTTATTTGAGATACCCACAAAAATAGACATGTATTCTCCACTATTATCTAGCATTTGTTTTGCATTGTGATGGATAGCTAGAGATTTATTGCAAGGACACATACTGATATATGATGATATATATATATAATTATAATGGTATGTCATGGTATGTCTAGATATATTTTTCTTATGATAGATACACAATGATACACATGTGTGTGTGTTTATCCGGAGAGATGGAAGAATGTCATTCCCATGATGGAATCCCCTCCAACGTGGCGTCCGAGTATCATACTGTATACCCATCTGCATAGGGTAGCTATTTTGATTACAACTCAGTAGTTTCTCTATGTTTGTTTGCAATTCTACTGAAAGAAACACAGAATGATTTGCTTTCAAACGTCAGTTTCTCTGACTCTCAGGTCCTTGCACGTTAGCTGGTTCGAGACGCTTTGGGCCAAAGGCACATCGCTAGTGAGCTACAGAGGGGATTTGCAGAAGATGGTAACACCAAGAAAACAAAACTCAGTAGGGAGATGTATCGATAAATGATGATGAATGAGGTTTAGATAGGGCCGGTTTAGAAGCCTTGTGGAATGGTTGCAAGCCATGATGTACTCGTACCTGAAAGACCTTACAGACAGAATAAAACTCGCCCATGACGCGACTCAACATAGTGGGAAAGACGAGCATGTCGACGTGAGGAAGTGAAAGACAAAGGAGTTTCCCATAGCGACTGTCAGATGAACCTTACCTCAAGACCTGATATTATCATAATTTATCCATGAAGGCATGTGGCTGAAACTCTAACCTGAGCAGTTTTTGTTCGCATACCCCGTGCCATCCATTGCCATGTCGGTACTCTTGGCCTTGCCAGAACGATAAATCGAAATCTTCAGCTTCAAATATCAAGTAAAATGCTTCATGTTTGTATCTGTGGTCAGGTGATGTCAGGTGTATAATCCAACACCGATGGCCTGGTCCAGCTCTCATGTTCCTGGCAGGTCAAGCAATTCCCAGCCTATGTGCGAGGGCTTCGGGGAGACAAAGCTGATGGTGTTGAGGCAGCCTGTGGACGCCGAAGAAGCAGTTGGATCTGGGTCATTCTTGGTCACAGTATGGTCATGCCATGTCAAGCCCCGCTCTTCATTTCCTTGCCTGATGGTTACCATGATCAGTATGAGTTCTCATAATTATCATGATCATCGTAGCCACGAGGAGGGTCATGATGAAACATCAGAACGATTTCCCTCGAAGAAAGTCTCTTGAAGTTGAACTCACACATCCTTCAAAGCCTGTTGCTTGCAATATGGCTCAAGGCGTGAAGATGTCAGGGTGCAACGCAAAGCACCGATATGGTGGGCAACACCTACCCGCTCCTGAGGCTTAACAATCCTGGAATCCTATGAGACTCATGCCTCCAAGCTGAGTGGGTAAGAAGATGTAAGAAGTGCATCTAGATAGCATCTATGTATGTAATATTTGCATCACAGAACAATGTGTTCAGATCAAGATACCTAGAAGCCTAAGGTTGCTCGATGGCGACCCCCTCTCTTTAGGGCTCCAACATGCGTCTAACGGATAGGGTTCAATGGTATATATGGTTCAATATGTACAGTGTATTCAGTATATTGTCTTTGGATGTTTTTGGTATAGTGATGTATAGTGAATATATATATATATATAATACTTTTTACTATACCCGGTTCGCATTTTTCTCTCAAATGAATTTAAGCTGACAAGCGCCCACCCCTTAGTCCCGCCATGACCGGAAGCCATGGAACAGATGGCAAAGACGGACCAGGCCGGCTTGAATAGGTTTGATTGCGTTTTTCGTTGTCAAAAACCTTGTGATAATGGGCGGTCATCAATTAAATATTTCAAGAAGAACCAACAATCATAGATATATCATGATTGTCGCGCAACAACATGATTGGTGTTGGGGAGCCGCGAGCTGTCAATTTGAAAAACAACAATTTCAAAGATGTTCAAAGTATATGAGGTGACCTCGAAACACTAAGCTTGCAATGCACATCGCTCATCTGTACCGACTGTACCCTTTGTTTGTTTCCAGCGCAAGCGAAGGTGTTGCCCTGGCGACCGCCATGGAGGCTCAGGGGCAACCGGGTGCTTTTAGTCCTTAGATATTGCATGATATTGCACTACTTGTTGTCATATGTTGTCATAAGCACATCGATGCACAATATTTTGATGGGTCAATTTGTGGGTTGTTTGTCAATTAGAGTCCTCATTTTTCTGAGCTTCTTCGGAGAGTTCGGACCCAGTAATGACGGATGATTACTGTGCCCAGCATTGATGAATGGGTTAAACGCTCCAAGTCTTCTGATTTGCTGTTGGGAAGAATATCGATGTCTTTTGTTGTTTTTGTTTGATGCTAAAGACAGTTCAAGCAAATCGTTCGGAAGAGGAAGTTGAAAACACGGTGTGAACTGTGCTTGCAAACTTTTCGCAACTTCATCAACCACCAATATTGGGAAGTTGAAGCATAAACCTGCCATTGATGCCAGAGGCTGCTCGTGTGCGAAGTGCGCACACTGCAGCAGTGCAAGCTCAACAGCAGCAGAGGCTCGAGGCGCCGAGCAGTTTTACTGCAGCGCTAGGAATTGACCGATGTTGTAGGTCGTATAATTCAAAGTGTGCAAAGAAACTTTGGAGAGGACCTTGAACTTACCAAGGAAGTGGAATATTCCCTCGCGGGAGACAGTGCTTCCATTAAACATGCTGTATTTCCACGTTTGCGGTCTAGGGGAAACATGCTTTCAAATTTAGTTGCAAAACAATGGCACACGTGTTCTTCGTTCTTCACTCTGTACCCGGGAGCGTTAAACCAACAGAAACCACTGTGCTTCCGCAAATGCTCCATCTACATCCACTCGCCACCGGAGGAGTTTCAGAAGATTTGCAAGAAGAGGGCCATGGCTATCGCGCCAAGGCGCCAAGCGGCAACTTTTCCAAGTTGCACCGTTCCTCCCCACAGATCTAATGATATCCACTATATATAATTATACAACATATTATAGATATATATGCATAGATATAGATATATATATAATTATATATTATATATACATATATATAATTATATATACATATATATAATTCTATATACATATATATAATTATATATACATATATATAATTATATATACATATATATTCAGTAAAGTTCAGGCGTTTCAGGGTCGCAATGACTAGTTCAAAACATTATTGTTTTCTATTCATGTTGGGCTTTCCACGTTGACCTTGGTCAATCAATAGTGATACAATTCACCCACTTCGACCCCCTATGCCGCATCTTCTTTTCGCGGAAGAAATCCCAAATCAGGCATGAATTGGTTGAGTCTGTTGATTCACTTTGCCCTGGAACCATTGTGTGGCTATGGTTGTAGCCCAAAGCCACTACCATATTTGAACTGAAACCTAAAGAGTTCAAAATGATGGTCTGCTGAGTCCCCCTTGTGCGGCAGCTCCTGTTTGTTGGAGATTAGTCCAGTCATTTACCTCTTAAAATTAGAATCAATAATTTACTTCTAGAAGATAGTGGTCTTCAGGGGCTTGAGTTTTGAGGCCATACCGTATACCTATTCAATTCAACAGTCATATGGGAGATGTTATGTGAATATATCACAATAGATGGGTGGTTATGTCTGTTTGGTGGGCTCTTTAAATGTTGCTTACTTTCACTAAAATGGGATGGTGATCTCAAAGTGTTTGTTCATTCTTGGGACGAGTGGCGCGACCACCAACTAGGGCTGTGTGTATTCCTGGTTGGTACCCCGCTCTGCAAGCCCGTACAGCCAGGAAAGCTGGGGCGCTAGATGCCATGCCACCGCAGGCAGTATGGGAGGATGTGCCGACGATACAGGTGTGAACTCTGGAAAAACCAGGCTTCCCAGCTTGATTCGTTCGTTTTGAACCACCCCACCAGCTGCGATGTGTTAGTTTTTGCCACGACCACGCAAGTCCCAAGCGTGCTCTGATTTCATAGATCAGGATGTTCCCACCTTGGCCACAATTCCGCAGTTTGTTCGGGGGACCTTGAACATCCATTGTTTGGGCAGTACAAAGTAGCCAGCCAGCCATGCGGAGAAGAAGGCCCTTGATCTGTTTATGTTCTGCAACCACATCCTGCGTTTGATTCCAATGATTATTTCAAATAATGAAGTGACGTGCAATCTTTTGAAAAGGGATGCTGCTCAGCCGTTCCCAACGAACGAGTATATTATTAGGATGGTGGCTCAACCACCAAGACATTGGGATGGAATGTGCTCAAAACTTCCTCAGGAGCCTGGCTTCCAATTGGCCTATTGTGATGGAAAATCTTGGGCACCTTAGCAGATGTTTGACATGGGCAGCTGAGCAGGTTTGTTTGGGACTAGAGTTGGCAAGTTGCCGGGGTTCACGTTTAAATTTGGGGAGAAGATTTGATGGTTTGATTGGGTTTATTGCCTATTGCCCATTGAGAAAGTGGAGATTGAGACCTGGAGAAAGGATTTGACCAGAGAGATTGAAAGTGAAGCCGCTCAGTGAAACCTCAGTGAAGCCTTTGAATGTTGATTCAAGACCATTCACATGAAAATCTGCAGGTCTTCACCCTGTGGTGTCTTAGGTGCATTCCACCATGCATGTTGCGCTTTAATTATATAATGGCTGATTGGCCAATTTCTTCGCTCGGAGACAGAACCTACACATCCACCCGGACAGCGAGAAACCTCTTCCAAACTCACCGTCAAAGAGTTTCACTATTCATCACATTTTCTTACAGTAAATCTTCAGACTTCCAGATGATCCCAGACAGAGTTCCAGGAATTCGGGGTCACGTGTTTCCAGCCCTGGTTGCGGACCCCAACCCAGGTGGACTCTTCCCCTAGCCTTCGCAGCTTCGATGAGCTGGCCAGCTGCATGTCGCAAGCCCGGAAGGAGGTGCCAAAGGGGCTGGAAAAATGCACGGACCAAATGGGGATCATCCTGAGACACGATCCAATAAGCTTACAATGCCAAACCCTTCTCATTTAAGATCCATTCATCGATGAATATAGAATTCGATATTGGGATTATAATGGGATGTCTCAGCGAGCCATGTTTCATACAAAGAGGGTAGTGCGGATTGCAGTCTCAAAACCAGGGCCCAAAAAAATGATCATGAAGAGAGAGAACAGACATCCACCTTGTGATTACCAGGTGTCCACCTTGTCTATCTATTTTAGGCTTGCTATACTCCACTTCAGCCAACCGCAAAAGTAGAAATCCACACTTTCTAATCGTATATTCAACATAAGCGTTTTTTTGGGTCGAGAATAAGATCAACAACCGGGCCAGTTCTTTGTGTGTGTGGTTTTGCGCTTATGTTTCTGGATAACTTCCACCGCCCTGAAACGACCTCAGCATAAATGGTTCTTAACAAGGGCGATCTTCCCCAAATGGTGTGTATCACGTTTAAGATTCACTGCGAATTGTCCAGACATACATTTTGGGGGTAGATTTACGCATGCATGAGTTGAAGATATTGTAGTTTAAGTGAGATTTGGCATACGGTAGCCATTTATTGTTGCTTCGTAATATTCCCCTTTTCGAGAGTGCTTGACCCTGTACACTGTACCCCCAGTCAAGATGTCTTGAGAACAGGTTCACCCACACTGCCAGCCAGGCTTTGCGATGTCTGACTGGACCCTCGGGGGTAGGATGTAGCTGGGAGGTGGAGCAGCAACAAACCTGAGTTGCATCAAATGGATACATATACGGTATAAATATATTATAAATATATATATAATATATATATATGATCGAGAGACCTTTAGGTACCATTTTGTTCCGGTTAATTCTGATAATTTTTAGAGCCTTTTGGATAATTGAGAGGATTTGAAGAATTAAATGATTTAATCCTTTTAATCCTTTTAATCCTCCAGAGCCTTTTGGGGGATTAAAAGGATTAAAAGGACTAAATGATTTAATCCTTTTAATCCTTTTAATCCTTTTAATCCTCCAGAGCTTTTTGGAGGATTAAAAGGATTAAAAGGATTAGATGATTTAATCCTTTTAATCCTTTTAATCCTCCAGAGCCTTTTGGAGGATTAAAAGGATTAAAAGGATTAAATGATTTAATCCTTTTAATCCTTTTAATCCTCCAGAGTCCTTTGGGGGATTAAAAGGATTAAAAGGATTAAATGATTTAATCCTTTTAATCCTTTTAATCTTTTTAATCCTTCAGGGTGTCCGGAATTCCCGGCCCAAGCCCTTGAGAAATATATTTAAATCCTTTTAATCCTTTTAATCCCCCAGAGCCTTTTGGAGGATTAAAAGGATTAAAAGGATTTAAAGAATTAAATTGCTGGGCTTTTCTTGGGATTCTGGGAGGTCTGGAGGATTAAAAGGATTAAAAGGATTAAAAGGATTAAAAGGATAAAGGATTAAATGATTTAATCCTTTTAAATCCTTTTAATCCTTTTAATCCTCCAGGGGGTCCGGAATTCCCGGCCCCAAGCCCTTGAGAAATATATTTAAATCCATTTAATCCTTTTAATCCTCCAGAGCCTTTTGGAGGATTAAAAGGATTAAAAGGATTTAAAGAATTAAATTGCTGGGCTTTTCTTGGGATTCTGGGAGGTCTGGAGGATTAAAAGGATTAAAAGGATTAAAAGGGTTAAAAGGATTAAAAGGATTAAATCATTTAATCCTTTTAATCCTTTTAATCCTCCAGAGCCTTTTGGGGGATTAAAATGATTAAAAGGATTAAATGATTTAATCCTTTTAATCCTCCAGAGCCTTTTGGAGGATTAAAAGGATTAAAAGGATTAAATGATTTAATCCTTTTAATCCTTTTAATCCTCCAGAGTCCTTGGGGGGATTAAAAGGATTAAAAGGATTAAATGATTTAATCCTTTTAATCCTTTTAATCCTTTTAATCCTCCAGGGGGTCCGGAATTCCCGGCCCAAGCCCTTGAGAAATATATATAAATCCATTTAATCCTTTTAATCCTCCAGAGCCTTTTGGAGGATTAAAAGGATTAAAAGGATTTAAAGAATTAAAATTGCTGGGCTTTTCTTGGGATTCTGGGAGGTCTGGAGGATTAAAAGGATTAAAAGGATTAAAAGGATTAAATCATTTAATCCTTTTAATCCTTTTAATCCTCCAGAGCCTTTTGGGGGATTAAAAGGATTAAAAGGATTTAAAGAATTAAATTGCTGGGCTTTTCTTGGGATTCTGGGAGGTCTGGAGGATTAAAAGGATTAAAAGGATTAAATCATTTAATCATTTTAATCCTTTTAATCCTTTTAATCCTCCAGAGCCTTTTGGGGGATTAAAAGGATTAAAAGGATTAAATGATTTAATCCTTTTAATCCTCCAGAGCCTTTTGGAGGATTAAACGGATTAAAAGGATTAAATGATTTAATCCTTTGAATCCTTTTAATCCTCCAGAGTCCTTTGGGGGATTAAAAGGATTAAAAGGATTAAATGATTTAATCCTTTTAATCCTTTTAACCCTTTTAATCCTTTTAATCCTCCAGGGGGTCCGGAATTCCGGGCCCAAGCCCTTGAGAAATATATTTAAATCCATTTAATCCTTTTAATCCTCCAGAGCCTTTTGGAGGATCAAAAGGATTAAAAGGATTTAAAGAATTAAATTGCTGGGCTTTTCTTGGGATTCTGGGAGGTCTGGAGGATTAAAAGGATTAAATGGTTTAATCCGTTTAATCCTTTTAATCCTCCAGAGCCCTTTAGGGGATTAAAAGGATTAGAAGGGTTAAATGATTTAATCCTTTTAATCCTTTTAATCCTTTTAATCCTTTTAATCCTTTTAATCCTTTTAATCGTCCAGGGGGTCCGGAATTCCCGGTCCAAAAGGATTAAAAGGATTTAAAGAATTAAATTGCTGGGCTTTTCTTGGGATTCTGGGAGGTCTGGAGGATTAAAAGGATCAAAAGGATTAAACGGTTTAAAAGGATTAAATGATTTAATCCTTTTAATCCTTTTAATCCTCCAGAGCCTTTTGGTAGGTTCAACAGGGTTCCGGATAAAGTTCCGGGAGGCTTTGGTGCAGAGCCAGGTCAGGCTCAACAGGGCTCCGGGGTTCCGGAGAAGGTTCCGGGAGGCTTTGGTGCAGAGCCAGGTTAGGTTCAACAGGGTTCTGGTGAAGGTTCCGGAGAAGGTTCCGGGAGGCTTTGGTGCAGAGCCAGGTCAGGTTCAACAGGGTTCCGGAGAAGGTCTGGGAGGCTTTGGTGCAGAGCCAGGTCAAGTTCAACAGGATTTGTGGCCATTTAACTCACGGAAACCGAGCTGAAGTGTTTCCAGCGCTTGGCTTGGCAGCAGGCTTCAGAAAGATTAGTAAACATAAAACGTTGCGGCTGTTGGGCATACCACCGAAGCTTGTTTTCCAAAGACATTTGCTGTGGATGGAAATTGCATGTCCATTCAAAGTTGCAAGAATGCAGGGGTGAGGCATGTCACCCTGCCTTTGGCAGCATTGTAAGTGACAGCACACGAGATTTCTTGTAAAGAAGCAACACCCGGATGTTTGTTTGAAATTTCCTGGAACAAATATTTTTCGACAAGGGCCACATCACCACATGGGACTTTGAAAAAAGCAATGCTCTTGAGCTGCATTGACAGCTGGTGAGCCTCCATCCACATTGTGCAAACAGACAACATCACCAGAAGTAATTGTTGCCCCAGAAAAAGTTTACAACGAGAGCTCTGCATGCAAGGCATTCCCACAGGAACCACGCCAGCATTGCATAGGAATGCCGTCATCTTCTTTGTGGGGCCCCCTTTTTGCATTTTGTAGGCAGGTGCCTTCTCTAAACAGTCTTGACTCTTCACCCAATGTATAGATGTGCCCTGCAATGACAGACTTCCTCAGAGAAGTTTCCCAATAGGTAGTGTTGCACAAGACATTCCCATGTTTTCTAGTGCCTTTGTGCTTCCCTTCCATGGTCCAGCATGCAGGTAATTGGCCATGCCTCTGGAGACTTTGACTATAATATGAAGTGACCAGTGCATCTTTGGCTCGAATTCTTCCGACCAGTCAGCTGCAACAGTTGCCTCCAATGCTGCTTCAACAAATGAAAGCAATTGCTTGTAGTTAGGCTTTTCCAAATCAGGGATGGATAGGCGATAGTCCAAAACTTTGCACCAAGCCAAAGAGCAAGTTGACCCCAGAAGACAAATGCCATTAGGCAAGCAACAAATTTGGACATAGTGTGCCAGCACCTGGTACAGACCCAGAATCTCTGAGGATGCATCTGAACTTCCCAGCTTTTTTGTGGCCTTCCACTGCTTTGGGCAGAAATAGCCTTTTCAAATTGCATTTGTGAATGGCAGGCTGGGCCCAAAGTTGCACAAAGCCATGTGCCTTCCAAATCTCAGCCACACCACTGGAAGCAAGCGGTTGGATCCACAAAAACAAATACCTAGTTCAGCACACCATTTGGGCAGAGCCCATGCATATAATCATGCATGTATTGGGTGATTGGTCTCAGAAGGTTCTGGGACTTCAGCTTGTCACTCAGCAAGAGTGAATGCTGGGAATAATCAACCCCAGAAGCCTGGCTCCACCTTCTTAACTCGGTTTTGTTGCACTCTTGCATCCTTGCCCACGAGGACAGGATTTCTTGGTCTGTTGCAACATCCAACAGAGAGTTTCAGTCTTTTAAGACCTCCCTGTAAAAGTACCTCAGAATGAGGATGAGCATATTTGTTGTCAAACATGTGCTCCAGGATCAACCTGAAACATTGGCCAATGCTGGCTGCCAGCTGTGAGACTTGCTCACTCCTCTTCCCGAGCAATGTCAACCAACTTTCAGAATTTGACAGCGTGGCCCCAAACTGGGCAGATGAACAGTAAATTGCCCATGTATTCCTAGAATTCCCTGCCAATTGGTTGCCAGGGTGCAGTTCATCTACATAAAGAATGCAAGACCAAGGGTTGTTGAAGGAACCAGGGTTGTTGTCATGTACCTTGTCAAAATAATCCGCAAAGCAGCCACCAGCTGCATAAGCACCAGCCAAATAGTTAAAGATGTTGGCAAATGCCAATTCCACAGGGTCCTCTCCCAAAATCATAGCTGAAGGCCAGCAATGACCTGCTCAACAAACTCTCTGATTTGTTTCCTTTTGTGACTAGCAGGAATGCCTTCCTGGGCTGCCAAAGTCAATATTGCTTCCGGGGCTGACTGGCTGCAAAATGGGATTCTCTGTTTAAAACTTTGCAATTTTGGAAAGTCTGGCATGGCTGGCTGGAAGCATTTCTTTGCAGAAAGGTGATAAAAGTAATCTTGGACAATGTTGGAGTATGACTGTGTGAAAGGCAAAAACTAGTGTTCCATGGCCTGCTGCGGAACCTGCTGCTAACATGGCCTCCAAATATGTCATTTGCAGATTTGGCACACATTGCCTTGGGCCAGGCCTTGCTTCATGCAGTAGCCTTGCAGAAAGCTGTGCCCACAATGCTGTGCTACTGATTCAAACATATTCAAACAAAAAAGCCCTTGCAGGCAAACGGATTTCAAATGAGAGCTCTTGAAGCCAAAACTGAAAAACAACAAGCAGAACCAAGGGCAGCACTGCAAGTTAGTGGTCACTTACTTTCATGCTGGAAAATATGTCTAGATAAGTATGTCAAGAGAAAGCCTAAGCGTTTCTGTTTTCCCCCACTGCCTGTATGATTTACCATTGCTGTGTTTGCATGGTTATTTACCACAAGGCAGCCCACGATCTTT